CAATGATGACTCTTGTGAGTGCTTGTTGCTGGTGTTACTACTTATACCCATTATTACATTATCCTTAATAAAGCTCCTATCCCACGGGACTCCAAATAGTAATAAGTTATACCTACTCCTTGATGATGATGTACTCCTCACCAAGCTAGGTTGGAGTGGTAAGGTAGTATGGTGTTCTCTTCCCATTAATCGATTAGTAATAGTAGTAGTAGTATCATTACTTATGGAGGTGTAGGTACGAGGACGATACATGCCATCATAACTATAATCATCATCATTCTCAATAGCAGCAGCAGCAGGGAACATGGTCGTATCAGCTCGTTGACGCCCTGATGGTAATATATCTCCATCATCATTAATGGAAATAATAGTAGTATAATGATGATGATGATGTTGATGATGATCATATGTAGATGGATGATGATTAGAAGGAGTAGTCATCTCCAATAATGGGCCTGTTTCATAGGAGCAAATTGCGTTGCCTTAAACTTAAGTAACGCCTTAAGTAATTAGGACATCCTATTTCACTACTGAAGTAAGCACGTTAAGGCGCCTTAAGTTTAGGAATACTTAAGGTGCCTTAAGTTTAGGAATACTAAAGGTGCCTTAAGTTTAGGAATACTTAAGGTGCCTCGAGTTTCTGTGCATATACTTAAGTATTTACGAGAAGCATCTCACAACATGCGTACTTAAGGAGCAACTTCAGTATTCCTTAAATTTTGGTAAGGTAGAGCCGACCCTGGGCCTGTTTCACAAGGATACTTAATTTAAGGCGCCTTAAATTGCGGAGCGAGCGAAGCGAGCGGAGCGTATTCTCTCACTTTACTAACACTGTGCGTGCGTGCGTGCGTGCATGCGAACAAATTATCCAGCTCGATCTAGAGAGGTTACGATCACATGCTATACACCAGGGTTGTCCAAATCGGGAAAAAATTGAGTCAAATTCTTTCCTCGAAATTTCCGTTGAAATTTCCTGAAATTTCCGGAAATTTGGCACAATATGAATCGTTTCGCTCCGCGCTGCGCGCGGTTTTCCATAGGCGCATCAGCAGCGCGATAGTGGCGCCCCTGGGTAGGTAACCTACCGTAGGTTGAGCATGGCGTTTACGGTTCTATAAACCACTGCACTAAGAACCGACGCCCGCTGCATCGAAATCCTCCACAATCGGCTGGCAGTGGCTTCGTTATGTCTATATATGAGCAATGAGAGCGTGTCCAGCGTCTAGATAGAGTGGGTGTAACTCTTGATTTTTTCCTGCGAGAGTCACTTAATGAGTCATCACCCAGTACTGACTCTCGTACAAACCGGTAATACCATAACCAGGAATCGTCCAAGATGACCTAGTAAAGATGTATGCGGATACGTCATTCAGAGCTTAAGACCCATGGACCACAGGTCACGCGCCCATACCGGTCAATGCACGCATACCCATAGGCTCTGGGTATGCGTGCATTCATGCGCCACCACATTGGTGGAAAAGAGAAATGAGGAGAAACCATAGAATTCGAAAAACTTAGAGAACCATAGAACTGGGAAGCTCGGAAAATTTCCGACGGAAACACGTTCCGTAGGCAGTTTCAAACTGCCGCAGTTTGCACCGCGACAGTGAATGTCCTGGCAAAAAAGAGCAAATCAACAACTTTCCGACACTCCCAGAGCGAGCGGTCGACTGCCGGTGGCAGTCTGCCACACCATCACACGTTAATCAGCAACTTTCAGGATAAAGGTGGGAAGGACGTCCCGAAATCACCCACACTTGCGTGAAACGCCCTTTTTCAATACTAGTGGGCCACTAGCAGTGGCTCCCTAGTGTCACAGTGACACTAGGGACAGTGTCACTGACACTGTCACTTCTTCCTGTAGCAATATTCATCGGTACCTCACGAGTTGTCTTGCGTCGTTCTTTGCAATGCGCATAAACATTCGAGGAGTGGGTCGTTTGTGGCTTCCGTACGTTCCCTCTCCGGACTCGCGCGTGGATTGGCGAAGAATGGAAAACTGGCGGAGCCGCGGATCGAACCCACGACCTCGCCCGAAAATTCCGGAAATTTCGACCACTTCTATTTTTCCCGAAATTTCGGGAAATTTCCGCTTGAAAGAATTTTTTCTTTCCAGCCCGAACAACCCTGCTATACACCATTCGATAGCTCTCGCTCTGGGGATACTAGGAAAAATACGAAATTAGGGTTCCGCCCGGACCATGTAGATTTCCGTGCAAAAAACGTATTTTTGCAGAAAAACGCCAGGCATGGGAATCGAACCCGGATGCCGAGCTCCGCCCCTTCTCCGAGAAGGCCTAGTGTGATTTTTTCACGCACGATTATATCCACCTAGCTCGAAAGTATTAATTTTCCCCCAACTGCAGCGAGTTTTAAAGCTAATTTTTTAAACCCAAAATTCTTATATATACCTCTTATTCTGAAATCGCGAAGTCGCGCATATCAAACTCTAGAAAACTATTTTTCTGGAATATATGCTTTGTTTCCTCAGCTGAGCTCAGGACTTCATCACTTCTAAAGAATTTCTCAAAATTTCATTTGTCACCAACACATGTCGTTGACCATGTGCATTCCTTCTCACACTGAGGAAAATACTCCACTGAAGCAAAATGACTATCCATCGAAAACAACTCAAACACTCTCGAGCAAAATTATACCGCAGCAACAGGCGCTTTCGCGTTGTGCGTGCGTGCAGAATTATTCTGGCTCGACTACGGAGCGTGGGAGGCTATCAGATAGATCAAACGACTCCTCTCTATGCGTAGGTGTTGGAAAAAATCAGAAAACTCGGTTATGCGAACAGCTCGAAGAGATCTGCACGAAAAACTTTAATGATAGAGAAATGTCCTACCCGGGGATCGAACCGGGGACCTATGTAAAATTCTTTGATTGAGTTCACGATGTGGACTCAGTGAGCTCCGCCCCTTCGTCACGAAGGCCTAGTATAGGAGCAACTTAAGGAGTTACTTAAGGTATACTTAAGAAGTACTCAACTCATTTCACAACGTTTAGAAGCAACTTAGGGAGCTCCTTAACTTAAGGCGCCTTAAGTATTCCTAAACTTAAGGCGCCTTAACGT